TGCTCCTTTTACACCCTTGGGAATCTGTTAATAAATGAATTTTGTATTTAAAACAGCTGGCCCGCAGTGACACTGACACTGACAGTGATTGGATTTGATATCTATATTGTACAATGAATTTTGAAACACAACTGACTTTAGTTTGTTTTAGTAGAAATGTTATTTCAATTTCTCTCTATTTTCATACTACCCCTTTCAGTGGATAGAAAATATAAACTTCATTGCTTTATTAACTTTATATGTTCCAAATGTGCATATCATATTTTGTTTTCCTTTACCATTCTAGGCTTTCAATGACATAAGTTCATGTACCCGAAGCATTATCCTAACATCTGGTACCCTTTCACCTATGTCATCATTTTCTTCAGAGCTAGGAGCACTCTTTCCTATACAGCTTGAGGCAAATCACGTTATTCACCCATCACAGGTAAGAGCCAATCGGCTGCATCCAGATATTCATTAAGAAGGTCTTACTAGTGTCAAAGGCAGATTATATTTCATCTCTGGTTATGTCATTGTCTGTTTCTATTAAAATGGTACTAAATGCAACAGTGGGAATGCGGCTTTTATTAGAGCATCTACATATGAGCATATGAGAAATGGTGATTTTTTGGGTCTGAATTGTTAAAAAAGAATGGATGCGGCTTCTATTAGGGATGTGGCTTCTTATACAGATTTTACGGTATTATGGTTTGCAAGTGTTTTTATGCGATACTTGTCAAATGCAAAATAAGTTCTGTTTTGTCTGATACAAAGACGATTGATCATTATTCCAATAAACCAACTGAACCAAGATACAAATATAAATTTACAATTGATAATCACTAGTCACTTGTACTGTGAAATCTCCATCTCTAAAAGTTTAACAACTTAGTTATTCGGCTGATTTCCATATTTTATTGGCTTCTAAAATTCCGACCATTCACAAATTAAAATTGATTATGTTTTGTTTCTTTTTTTGATTCACCAAAAATTCGTCCATTGAATGTTTTAGAATGCTTGATTGATATATTCAGAATTTGTTATTAGCCACCATTTTGTTTCAAATGCTGTTCTTATCTTTGACATAGCTGAAACAATCGCTGTCAAACTTTACATATCCATATAATCATATCACTGTACTTGCATTTATTTCACAATTAACAAGATTGCTGTCTGTCAGCCATTTTGGTGATAAAAAAAATGGAAATCAATTCTTCCCTACAAGAAGCAAATCTCTAACAAATTTATTCAACCTTAATACATCCTGTGATACATCCTGTGATACATCAAGCACATCGTTTTGTTTTACTGATTGAATTCGAAATGGCCACAGGTAGGCGACATGGTTTTACCAATCACTTTAAAACTACTCATTCATCACCTATACACATTTTGATAGGGCTGCATGGCTTGTGGTCATTTATGTGCTAAAATGTGGGAAGATCAAACATTCCTGCAGAGCAGAAAGTACTCTCATTTGTGAATGAATGAATTTGGTTACATTCAGTGAACATCATGGCATCTTGATGTACGTAATTTTTTTTACAGATCGGATTAAAGTAGATATCTAGCATCTGATTCAAGGTTGCTGACTTGATTGTAACCACTGTAGTAAAAATGCACTGACATCAAACTTTTGCAGGGTGAATTTAACTAAATCTGGTACCTAACTAAAATATTTGAATCTGTGCCACATTTATAAAGTGATTGCATTCATCTCACATAAATACATGTACTCCAGTTACAGATTATAATGTACAATAATATAGACTTATTTTGCAGGTTTGGGTTGGTACAATCGCTACTGGTCCTGCTGGTAATGTTCTCAACGCTACATACAAATACACAGAGGTGAGCTTCTAATTCATTCTTCATGTGTGTGCTCTGAATTGTTCCACTGATTGAAATTATATATATTGTTATACAGAGACCCTATAACAGGCCTTTCTATTCCAGGCCTTTTCAGTGCAAATTCTTTCCTCTTTCATCATGGACAGTATGGTGTTTGATGAATAGTTACTGGACTAATAACTGCTCTCCAATTTGTCAGATACATGTATGCCTGCATCTTATACTTTGTATTATATTATCTAGACTTTCAGTTTTCAAGATCAGTTGGGACTGTTAGTCTTGAAAATATGTCAGACCATCCCTCATGGTGTGCTCTGTTTTTTGCCTTCATACAACATGATGGAAAAAATGACAAAAAGATGGCAGGTAAGTTCAAATACGTTCACACAGCAGGAATGGCTTGAGAAAATATATATAGGAATGTGAGAGAATGAGAATATGCAGCCACAGAGAGTATGCAGCCACAGAGAGTGTGCAGCCACACAGAGTGTGCAGCCACACAGAGTGCAGCCACATAGAGTGTGCAGCCACATAGAGTGTGCAGCCACACAGAGTGTGCAGCCACACAGAGTGTGCAGCCACACAGTGTGCAGCCAGAAAATGTGAAGCCACAGAGAGTATGCAGCCACAGAGAGTGTGCAGCCACAGAGAGTGTGCAGCCACACAGAGTGTGCAGCCACACAGAGTGTGCAGCCACACAGAGTGTGCAGCCACATAGTGTGCAGCCACACAGAGTGTGCAGCCACACAGTGTGCAGCACACATAGAGTGTGCAGCCACACAGAGTGTGCAGCCAGAAAATATGAAGCCACAGAGAGTGTCCAGCCACAGAGTGTCCAGCCACAGTGTCCAGCCACAAAGAGTGTACCGCCAGAGAATGTGAAGCCAGAGAATGTTCAGCCAGAA